AGGTGTAAGTTTAGCTGTATTCCTTTTTTCCAAAGGTGAAATAATAGTGATGGAAAAGGTAGTTGGAAAAAATTGAAAGCCAAACTATATTGGCGTTACTCTGTCTGAGAAATGTCAGTGGCTCCAAAGTGAGCATGTGATATCTAAATAATTGCTTTAGCGTTGGGCAAACATAAAAAGGTGAAAAGAAGACTTTGATTTCTCTACAGTGATATTGCGGAACACATTTATACCATTACTCGTGCCAATAGCGGAGCAAGTCCAGGCATTCATCAGTGCTGGGTAGGAGCGCTTTATCACAGAGAGTCACTAGGCTGGAACCTGCTGCTGCGTGTCCTTGCTCGGCACATTTTGATAAAAAGCTATGTTTGCTGTGGATGGATTCAAGCTCACCACGTGTGCTTCTAAATGGCTATTGAGAAAATAGCCGTCCCACTTCAATGCCAGAAGCCAAAAGGTGATGCTGGAGGCTCACAAGAAAAACCAATTCAAGTCAGACCGATCACTCTTGCCATTGCTACCTGTCAGATGGAACAAATTGAATTTGTCTTCCTCTGGTGGCTTGTTGAGGCTCTAAACAGCGTATTAGTGGCTCTACTTATCAAATCTGTCAGAGTAAATCTGTTGAGCCAGGAACCTGCATGACTTCGCAGGATCAACGCTCAGGTGACACTGCATACAGAAACACATTCATTGCATTCTGCGCTCTGAACTCAGCCCAGGGAATGTCGATAACAGTAGACTACAAAGGCTTCACCAATTAGCAACTAGATTGAATTTCAAGGCTATGTAAGTGACACTACTCGATTACAATGTATCCTAATTATGTGTTGACTGCTATTTACTGTATGCCGTGTTTTAATACACGATTAACGTTGATTTTTTTCTATTATATGAACTACATAGCTTTGCATCATTAGAAGAAAGATAATGACCCAACTTCCCTAAAGTTACAATGAAGCAGAGACTTCAAATGTAAAAATATGTAACAATGAGCCACGAGTTACATGAGATGAGATATCTCATATCTCATGCATATAATCATGACGAACACGTGGAAATAGTGCAGGTTTTCTGGGCTGTTTTAATGAGGTTTGCATATATAGAGGTTCGTTGTGCTATCTGCCAGTTCAGGCTCCACGCTTGGACCAACTCTACAATATGCACAAGTGTTGCCCAGAGTTGCTAAAACTGCTGATATGTGTGGAGGGAATGTGGTTTCTCATAGAGGAAGAGTCAAATGACATATAACTACTTTGAGTCATTTTCTTGCATCTGTCTATATTCCATTTGATAGTGAGTGCTCTGAAAGATCATCAAATAAAATGCATTATTATATTTTCATGCTTATTGGATATTGTTTATTTCCCACTAGGACATGGCTCCTAATCCAAAAGGTGACCCTGGTGATTTTCACACATACCTTGATGAAACATTAGTGACAATCTATTACTCTGCATTGCAGTCATGATCGAAAGCTTGAAAAATAACAGTGTAGTCCACAGTGTTGGGAATAACTGTGTTGCTAACAGCATTATTTCTGGTCCGTAAAAGGTAATCTATTAGTTGCTTTTGCCTCTGGTGTAGTCATTACTTTGATCGCTGCAGTGATCAATCAGACACGTGTCATGTTTTCTTGTTAAATAAACTAATAAATACTGCTGATGAATCAGACGCAGTAGACAGTGGCCAAACTACTTTCTTCTAGCAACATAGAATGAGAGTAAAGCAGAGTGCCTTTTTGCCTTTTTGCACAGACCTCGCCACGGCTCGGTCTTTACATTAAGGCCGCGGTCTGATATTTCTCCATACAGACCTCGCGCTCGGTAAATAAGCCGTTATTATTGTACATAATATCCGGAATTTAACATGTTTGCACACTTCTTTCTTAGCACAATTTTTGTCTTCTTCTTCTTGAGTGATTCTATCCATGCCAGATGTGACATGTAAATTTCTCCTGTGTGAGATCAACAAAGTCTTATCTATCCGTCACATGCGCAGCCTAAAGACCGGTTAAAGTGTGCCAGGGCCCGCTTCGCAGTTTGATCCGGGCTTTAGGTGCCATCTGACCGCGGCATTCGTGCCAAAACTGCGGCCAGGGCCCGCTTCCCAGCGCAGAAGAGGGGTGTCAGTGTCGCGGGTGGTGGGGAGTGGGGGATTAGGTGTGGTGAGGACTTGATATTGTGCGTCACGATACGTCTTCCTGTGACACGCATTTTCACACACTCTCCCTGCACTTTTGTATTCTCCGCTTTTGTTAAACTTTTCATATAAGCCCCGGACCGTGCTCGAGGGGTGCAAGGGAGTGTCTCTATGCAGGGCCAAAGAAAAGCGTTTCCTACGGGTATAGCTCTCTTCTGTCCTGACCCTCGCTCTCAGTGTGGTGCTATTGCAATAACACTTCAAACATTCAAAAATCAGTCTTTATTTAATCACCAGAACACACACACACACACTTCATTCATGTGTGTGTGTGTGGTCGAGTGGCGCTGGGGAGTGTCGCTCCAGAGCCAAAGAAAAGCGTTTCCTATGGGTATAGCTCTCTTCTGTCCTGACCGTTATTATCAGGGGTGCACATAAGTGGTACGCAGGTACGCATGCGCGGCAAATATCAGAAATGCGTACTATCACTTGAGTTAGTTAGCGCATTCGCGTATTTCACATAGACCAGTCCTTCTCAAATAGTGTGCCGCTCCTCCCTGGGGGGGCGCGGTGCCTTAACATCCTCCGTTCTGACCCCGGGAGAAACTGTGGCCGCTTTGACAGTTCCGCGAACGCGCGTGGTCGTTCATGTATTGAGCGCGGACCATAGACGAGCCTACAGAACCATACACACGCGATCAGGACCGTCCCCAGGTTGTTGCACGTGCGTGTCTTGCCTGTCTCCCCCGTCTCTCCCCCATGCCTCTCCCAAGTCTCCCCACGAAGCGCAGCGTAGCTAAATATAAGCTCAGCTACCTAAATTTTCGCTTGCAGTGAAAATGCATGTTATTTGTGAACCAAAGTAAAATGTTGTGAGCAAATCCAACAGAACAAACCAAAACAGTCTTGTTTTTTTATTTTGCTTACTTAAGAAAGAGCCCTGTGAGTCATTATTTGACTTTTTGGGGCGAGAGTGGATTTTTTAAATAATGTAGTTATTGCCACTTTATTGCCAAACTCTTTTTGACTTATCGTATTGAGAAACATGTGTTACTCTCACATTATTTTTGGTTGTTTTATTACCTTTCTTGTGTGGCAATTGTATATTCTTTTTATTATTCTACTGAAGGATTATAATAATTCACTGCATTTTTATTGACAAATGTCAGCTCTCAAATTCTTTTGAAATAATGTTTCTATCTGCTACAGAGGCCGAGATATCAAACATTCTAGACGTTGAATTTCAGGAAAACCTCAGGTTTTTGAGGGTGGTTCTGAAGTCGGCCATAGGTTTTACAGGTCTGTCTTATCAGGTGGGTCAGGCCTTAATGGGTTATTTGACTTGGATTGAGAGGATTATCTGAGTTGATCTAAACTTAAGCATTAAAAAGAAGTAAGTATAAAATCTCGATTGAGAACCCCGCAACAAATGGAGTGAGTGCCAAACACCATGTCCTGGTACTCATCTGAGTACCTCACTGAAAAAGTTATGTGCACCACTGGTTATTATTATATATCCATGGTCCTGACCCTCGCTCTCAGTGTGGTGCTATTGCAATAACACTTCAGACATTCAAGAATCAGTCTTTATTTAATCACCAGAACACACACAAACACACACACACACACTTGTAACCTCCCTGTCTGCGGTCGCTCCGCTCGTACTAAACACTTTTCATTCTTTCATTCTCATTCATTAATTTCTCAGGGCTCATACGCTCGTTGCTAAAGAGTGTGTTTGTCTGTGTGTGCACTCGTGTCCGCAGCGCGCACACACACACAAACACACACGTGTGCATTCACACGTTGCCCACTGAACTGCTGCACTTTGCATCAGAGCAAATTTGGACAAGTGTGAGATTTCCCTAAACAATGCGATCCGTACTGAGCTGTTAGCTGTTAGCTACAGTAGCAGAATGTAAACAGGAAAAGAAGCGGATCTCAACCAGGGCAACAAGGTAGTCTCTGGTGTTAGTATTAGCGCCACCAGCTGGACCGAGTGTTGAACTACAGCACAATTTCCCTGGCACGGTTCAGACAATACGTTCATGTGACCGCGGGCCGTTTTCACACCCCTGTGGCAACGATCCGGGCCACTTCGTCTAGTTCTTTCTTCTTACTTCTTTCTCCCTGTTCCCTTTGGCCCAGATATAACTGGTGCCTGGATGTGTAGAGTGACCCTAGCCCTTTCACGCCGGCCGGCCTGAGGCACTCCCACGGGGAACACCCTGTCATGTCCAAGCGATGTACTCACTGTCACTGAAAAGTGTAACGCAGTGTTGCCCACAGGTGTCGACAGAGGTACTGCTAAAAGAGGTTCAACCCATTCAATGACGAATGTGATGCAACTTCTATTTGCATGTCTATGAATTACTGAATATTGTGTCATATGTTGGTGTTTGCTGTATGTATTGTAACATATTAACCAACCATGTGTTCAGTTACTTAAAACTTTGGATGACTTGTGCCTCAAAACATCTATTTAGAATGTATTGAACAAACTCCATCCTGTGAATGGTTCCATACAGTATTCATTGGCCAATTAATATAGCCCTGCATTAAAGCAAAATTGCTCAAGGTCATTCAAAAAGCTATCTCTATATGCTTATATTATACTTACACTAACCTAAAACATTGTTAAAAAGAGAAAAGTGAGCCCCCAATAATGAGGTAGCCCAGTTCTGTCAGACAGCACTCACCTACATGTTACAACTTAAAGCATCAACAAAATATGTCAAGTGGCTGTTGAGAAAAAATGCAGTCACTGTAGTTAGCTTCATTATCTATAAATAACAGACATTGTGGAACTGTGTGCGAGTCTAACAGCAGTCCCTGGTGGTGTCATGGGTTTCACTTACTTTAGGAAACTGCTTGACGGGTATTAAAACTTTCTGTCCTAGTTTCATGTTCTTGTTGATGACGACGTCGATGAACCTGTCTTTCTCCTCCTCCTTTCCCTCATCTTTCTGGATTTTTTCGATTTCTGTAAAAAGAAATGCAGATGTCAATGTTTTAAAAGGGCAATAACTAGCAGTAATTATGTATTGTATCATAAGCATGCTGTATGTAAAAACCATATTTGAATTTCATTGTTTCAATATTATTGAAATATTTATTTTGACCAATAAATGCTTGTAATTGGATTATATAAAACCTTTATCTTATATTACATTAAATCATTAATTATTTATAAAATATTCAATTATAAAAGAATTAAATATTATATTATAAAATGTTGTATGTAAATAATTTGATTATCTACCTATTATATACAATAATTTAAGTCATTAATATATATTAATATGATTAATCATATTATTGACTTATCATAACCCATTTTTGCCAATTTTTTATTCACAAATTTTTACTTCTACCCCCGCTAAGTTAGTTAGTTTGTTGGAAAGTTCTCTGTGTTGTACATACATGCAGAGACCACTGTATGTATGTGTAACTGTTTGAATGCATACATATTATCTCCGGAGAAAAAAAAAGGAAATTTCTCCCCAAACACAGCAATATCAACATTTTAAACACATGACTAAAACCTTATCCGTACCTTACATAATTAAGGAATATAAAAAAAACAAAAGCATGTGTGAGAAGCCTGCAGCTGTTTATTATATATCACACGCTCCATCGGCCCCAGAGGCAGCTCTACCCGGAGGTTACACTTCAGTTTGCTTGAAATTAACCAATTAGAGCAGAAATACTTAAATAATCTCCAAAATTAAACCAATAAGCGATAATGATAAATTGTATTGTAACTCATGATGAGGAGAGGGGGGCGTTATCTGTCCTGACATTTACCAGAGAAAATGTGATCGTCCCACTCAATATTAACCATAACCAGGACAGATTTAGTGCCAAGCCCTGGTGTACTGCCAACTGTATTATGAAAATGCAATTATAACTTATAATTTTTACTTTTAAACTTAAAGATCCACAACAAAACTTAAAGATCCACAACAAAACTTACAAAAATATGAATAAATAAAAAATGCTCATTAAAATTCTGTAATGACACATTTTTACGATGCCCAAAAAAGTAAAAATGTTAGCTGTCAACTATTCAAAGAACACATTGGGTGAAAATGTTCCATTCCATCTTTTTTTGTGAAATGAAATGTCAGAACATTCTAACAGTCCTAAATTTGACTTCATTTTACAAAAAGTAGATTCCCTAAAAGAAGGTTAGGTAGATTTGGAAGTTTACAAAATTAAATAATTCAACACTGGAGTCGTAATTGATTATGTGTTTGCGCTATAAACATCCAATAAATATTTGGTGAAGAATGAAATAAAATAGAACTTATTTACTCTCAATAATAATACGGACGCTGTTTTTGGTCTAAAAAGAGTATGTTGTATAAATAGAGATGCACCACTTTTTCAATATCTGATAATACCCGGTTTAGGGTTAAAAATACAGTCAAAAAAGCCAGAGCTTGTCCAAAACTGCCCTCGATTCTCATTGGCGTATCATCAGAAGATGTCCATCACACAGAAAATCACATGGAATTGTATCCAAAGCAAGAGCTCTGCGTCCAGATTTCTGTGTCCCATTATGAGGCCTCACTATCAGCTTTTTCCTGCAGTTTTCTCCTCTGTCCTGAGCCTGTGCACTGTTGCATGTTCATCAGCTGAGAGAATGTGGAAACTATTCAAATGCCTGTATCAAATGTAGTGTCTGTGGTGCATGTATAGTGTCCTGATCGGGGCCTTCAGTATATGATCCCTTACGTATCATTTTCATCTCCACGATAACGCTTTTCTTTGTGCTGTGTATGAAGTGATGAAGTTGGATTTGCTATTCGTCAAGCAGCTTCTCGACTTGAATCAAACGCAAATCTCAAGCAAACAGGTGTCATCCAGTAGCTCATTTTACCAAGATATAACTTTTCTCCACACACTATTTTTTTTCTTTCACTATTTTTTTTCTTTCATGAACAAAAGATAGAAACACAGTGGACCCCATGTCGAGCCAAAAAACTTGTGCTGCGCTGCTGGCTTCTTTTGGGGGAGACAGACTTTGATATATTTGGAGATGTAACCTTGAACGTTTAATCAGATGGATAACATCTGTGTTTTGGTGCCAGGAAAATGGTTTTGCAGAGAGGGCAGCAGGGAGGGCAGCGAGAGGTGCCGCACAGCCACCACAAAGACTTCAGGCTAAAAGCTCGACAGGGAAAAGGTGAGGCATCAGGCCAACTCTATTACACAAGCTCTGGTGGGAGCACAATCATTTTGGCAAATAAAAATGAACATCTAAACAGAAACATGCCATTTTGATGTGTATAACATGAGCATACAAATCTACCAGATTTAAATCTAGTAGGTACAAGTTAATAATAAAAAAAAATATTACTGTTCTGTTAATGGACCTTGTGTTTCATCAAAGGTTCTGTAGATTGCTGTTAAATACTTTTTATAATATATTTCTTGTTGTCTATGTATTTGTAACATTTATGTATGATTATTATTTCCATTTATTTCAATAAGAACCAAAACCTTTCAATTCAAATTCATGGTTGTCCTTTCAGACTGGGATGTATCATGTAGATATGCTTGCAAACTAATCGAAGCCTTTGATGGGAGTTTAAACTGGGATATAAAAGTTGTCGGCAAACTGCGATATCTGTAAGCTTTGGTTTATCCTCAGGGGGCAAAGAGAGCACACGCTCAGAAGAAAATACTCAATCAATATTAATGCATCGCCTAGCAACATGCCAAGATGGAGCCTTTCTTTTACACCAGACAGCTCTTTCTGGAAATTCAGTATATATTTTTTTCACTTTGTGCAAACCTTTTTAAAATGAAGACAAAAGTTAAAAGTAAATAAAAGTTACCAGATAAACTCATCTGAGGAGATGTTTTTTAATAACTTTATCATAACATGCAATAATGTGATCCATAAGAATACAAGACATTTGCAATTTGGTCCAAATACCTCAGAAAAATTAAATATGATTTATGTTATGAATAATTTGTTTGTAAGAAGAGTTCTATAAAACATCAACAAAACGTTTTAAATGAGGCCCAGAAATCTATAGCAGACTTTCACACAGCGGATATGTTAGAGGCAGCTTAGTGATTACAGTTTTCCCATTTGAAATGAATAAACCCGGGTACATTAGTTGGGATTATGCTTTGGCTGAGTTTAGGGATTCAGGTTTGGAAGAGCTCTTTGGTCATTAAGGATCAGGTCCAGAAATGGCCTACCAATCATTCAGATTCTACTAACACACCAAATACATTTACTCTGTAACAACATAGTGAGATCAAAGGAAGGTTTCTCACCCATCCTCTGTACTTCTTAGCAGGTTTTCCTGTTAAGAAGTACAGATGATGGGTGAGAAACCTTCCTTTGCTCTGACTAATCCCTGTACGACTGAGAGCTTACACAAACTTATCATAGTGAGATTTTACTCACATCCAAATTATAAAAATACATTGCCATTGTCAGACTATAGCCCGAGTGTGATGTACAAATACAAAATAAAATATTGATACATTTATTTTGTTTTTTAAGACTTAAAATAGATTTAAAAATGGACGCATGGATGAATATGTGTGTGTGTGCCTGTGTGTGCCCTGCTCTGACCGGCTTGTGCGCGGTCTGATCGGGAATGAAAAGCATCCTCAAAGCGCTGATGCAGTGCAGGGTTGTGGTTCGTCTTCAGTGATTTGAGTTTGCGAGTCCTGACAGACACTGGGCTCGGGGCTCTGTCCCTCCACACTCTCCTGCTCTCTGCTCCCCTGAGCCCGTTCTTTTCCTTGCCGGACCGGTACGAACCAGGGGTTGGGGACTAGTGCAATAGGGTACCACAGCACAGTGCTAGTATAAGCCGACATATAAAGTACACGTATGTTGCTGTTATTTACATACATTTCTTGACTAATATAAAAAAATGAATTGTTAGTGACAAACCTAAAGGCCAATGTTATTTATATTCCACTGTTTCAGGATTATATTTGTTCAGTAGTTATCTAAAAAGCCTGCTCATGAATATCATGAGAGTGAATAGAAGCGTTCGAAGTTGTGAGAAATTATGAAGAGCATGATGAGCGTTGAGTAAGGTTAGATATTTGTTCAATATAAGTTTGGTCATATCTGTCAATGTTTTTTTTTTAAAGAAAGTATATTTTAGAAAGAAGTATTATGTCTTGAATATATTTGATATATATATATATATATATATATATATATAGCAATAATAAATAAATAAATATAATGACAATTTCACTTTCTTTCAATTTGTGCACAGCTTGAGTCCCGCACCTGCAGATAACAGTTTAGAGGGCTACATGCTGTGTTAGAGTAAATGATTGAATTGAAAATTGGAAGCCGTTTTTCTCCCGCTTCAGCAAGCGTAGGAGCCAATAAACAGATATCTGAGGTAAATGACAGCGCTGCAGTTTACAGGCGGTTTTGTGCAGTGTCTGTATGCCACTGATGCACTCCTCTTATTCTGTTGTTTTGCAATTATGGGTCAGAAGTAGAAGCAGAATGTTGTGTCATTAGTTTCATTTTCCAATTCCTGCTCCCTATAACAATCTTATTAAGAATAAATCAAAGACATACCAGACGTTTAACATCGTCCACTAAAATAGAAAACATTTTGAGCAGGAAACAAAGCAATAGGTTGTAACATCTGAAAGACATCCTTCTACTTCTAGCTGGTACTTGTTTTGCTTTGAAATGGCACAGCTGAAATACTAATTTTGCCATTTTTATTAAGATAAATTCATACGCATCAAGCTCAAACACAAGCAATCTAAAAAATAATGTTCAAATGGAATCTTTTGTAGTTGTCTTAGTACCCTGTGGTGGAGCATTTACACGTGCCTGAGTGTGATTCTTGGGGCAGTGCCAGAAATACTTTTGGCCTACACACTCTTCATGTGATCTTTCCCCCACACCTTTAGCATGAACTATGACAGAGAGGCTGTGACCCCTGACAGAGGAACGCACACACAGAGAAC